CCATCGACATGTGGGGGATGCACAGCCAAGGGAATATCGCTCAGCCTTGAAAAGGAAGCCGACTGACACCTGCTACCACGTGGAGGAAGCTGGAGGGCGCTGTGCTAAGAGAAGCCAGCCGGCCACAGAAAGACAAGTCCTGTAAAATTCCCAAGAGTGGTCAAGTTCTTAGAGACAGACAATAGAAGGGTGGGCGCCAGGGGCTGGGCGGAGGGGTGGACAATGGAGAGCTAATGGGGACAGAGTTTTGGTTTTGCAAGATAAAGAAGTTTTGGTGGTGGATGGTGGTGACAGTGGCACAATGATGTGAATGTACTCACCACCACCGAACTGTATACTTAAAATGTTTAAGACAGTAAAATTCATGTGGTGTGTTTTACAACGGCATCTGTATTTTTAAGAGTGAGAGATTTACATGTAACCTCCAAGGTTCTTTCTTCTGGCTCATCTGAGGTGACTTCTCGCTTTTTAATGCCAGGTCTGTTTGAGGACAAGAGGTACGTATGTACCTCCAGGCCCCTCTGGCTGCACTTAATATGAAATGTGAAGACTTATGCACAGACTGACAAAGCTATATGAATCTTTTCCCGAGGAGCAAGAACCTGCATGGTGATAACACCAGGAGCTTGCAGGGCTGACGCCCAGTGACCTTGCGAAGTCCAAACACCCCATCGTTGCAATTCCTTCCTCCAACAGCAAGCCACTGGATATACTGACAGCATCAGCAGAGAGCATAAGAAAAGGGCCAATAAAAGACCACTGAAGAACCAAAATACAAGACGCTGAATTCTTGTCTCACTCTGTCCAGGTCTAGAGGGCATACTGGAGCTGCTTCACAAAGCATGCACTCAAAAAAGGAGCAATGACTGGCTTGCCAGGGAGAACCTTGTCAACCTTTTGGATCCTACGAGATCCAGGCTCTTACCCTGATAGAAGCCTCTGGAGCTAGCTGCAGAAAAAGAAAGGAAGAGAAGTAACTCCAAGGTACTAAACCATCGACAAGAGAAGTAGGCTGAATGGGGAGGTGACAGTTAAGGCTGTGTTGAAAAGAGGCAATGAGCTACCTGGAGAGAGAGCCCATTAAAAAAAGAAAGAAAGAAAAGACAAAACATGTGAACAGATTATTTATCCAAGAAGAAATGTGGATGACGGACAAGCACAGGAAAAGAGGCTCAACCTCATTGCATGTTAGGAGCAAGTTAAAACAACAAGGAGATAGCACTAGATACCTATTAAAATTACTTAAAGGAAATGATGAAGCCAACCGTCCCTGCCAACGAGGAACAGCAGGCTTCTCAACATAGCGAGCGCTTGAGAAAACGGTCTGGCGGTTTCTCATCAAGTTCAGCAGACTGACCTGATGGCTGGCAGTCCCATCGCTAGGCTTTAACCCAAGTGAAACGGAAACTTGTGTTGACACAAGGACCTGTGCACAAATACTCACCACCAAACACTGGAAACAGCCCAACCACCCAAATGAACCTGGGCCGGGGGATGGATAAACAAACCTCCGCACAGCCACGTGATGGAATTCACGGCACCAATGAAAACGAGCAAAGTGCAAACACGCGGGACAGCATGGGTGAACCCCCAAATGCACTGGGTGTGCTTTTATTTGTAGGACATTCTGGGCAAAGCACAACTGTAGAGACAAACAGATGAGCGGGTGCCCAGGGGCTGGAGGTCTGGGGAGAGGCTGACCCAAACATGACATGCGGGAATTTTTGGCAGGGGCGGTGATTGTGGTGGTGATTGTGTGACTCCGTGTGTCTGTTAAAAGTAGCAAAACTGTGCACTAAAAAAAGTGAATTTTACTCTGTGTAAATAGTACCTTTTTACAAATTAGAACAGCAGCCATTCTACAGAGCTTGCGTTTATAGACCCCCAAACAAAGATTAAGGACCATGCTGCCCGAATCAGAAGCCACGAGCCACAACTGGCTATTTATGTATATTCTAATTAAAATGTGCATTTTATGTATATTCTAAATAAAATGAAGTAAACTTCATCAGAATTAGAATTAAACTTTCCATTCCTCAGTGGCATGGGCCATGTTTCCGGTGCTGGATCTGGAGAGCCAGGTGGCTGCGGTGCTGACCGCTGGGTGGGGTACGGCCGGGCTACGGCCTTGGCTCGCTCCTCTCTTTATCTTCCCAAGTCAGGAATCATGCCAGGGACGGAGTAGCTGCACAAGACCCACAAAGAAGCGACAGTGGGCCCCCAACAGCTCTGAGGGCTTTTCACTTGATCTCCTGGTCTGGGGCAGGTATGTGCAAAGCGGCAGAGCAGAACCCCAGCATGAGCCCAGAGGCTGATAGAACCCCAGAGCTGGCTGAGTCTGAAGGCAGGCGGATGGGGCTGAGGAGGAGAGGCCTCCAAGTCTGGAAGCTGCTGGTCCACACCAGCATCCTCGAGGGGTGGGAGCTCACTTAATATGTGTCGAATGCCTGGGGAACCCAGACCACTGTCTTCTCATCTTTTTCCTGTCTGCTGAGAGTCCCTTCCTGTGGCAGCCTTAGCCTTCTGGGATCCTTCCTGTGGCCCCAGTACTGCTTCCTGCCTCTTTGCTGAGTCCCGAGGGCCTCACGTCATGCAGCCACGGGACCTCTGGCTATTACTGGGCAGGACTGTGAAAGACAGCCAGAGAGGGACAGAGAGAGAGACAGAGAGAACAATGCTCCATAGAAACACCACCTCCTTGCTCATTTGAGACCACAGCTCAAGAACCCAAGAGACGTGAGCCCTGTGTCCAGAGCTCCCAGGGAGCAGGCTGACTTGTTTTTCTTTTACAGCCTACCACCTCCAGCCACCCTATCGTTCCTGAAACACCAGTTCAGGAAAAGCTGTGTCTGACTTCGACAGCACAGGACATTGCTGAAACCAAGGCATGGATGGAAAGTACTCTTGGCAGAATACCCTGGTGTTGGCGCTTAGAAAAAGGGGCAGACTCAGCTGGGCGGTTCTGGCTTGGGGCATCTCTCACGAGGTTGTGTCTGTCAAGATGTTGGTCTGGGCTGCACCCTTGGGAAGTTTGTCTGAGCCTGGAAGATCCGCCTCCAAGGTGCCAAGCTCAGGCACCTGGAGGCTCGGCGTTGCTACTGCCTAGAGGCCTGTGTCCCTTAGCAGCTGGATGACCTCCCGACAGGGCGGCTCGAGCATCCTCCAACGTGGTGGCTGGCTTCCCTCGGAGTGCGGGATCCAAGAGACAGCGGAGAGGGGGCTGCAAGGTCTCTGTATGACCCTCAGAATCCCCACCCTGCCATTTCTACCATATCCCCGTGGTTACAAGGTCAGCCCAGTTCAGTACAGGAGGGGACCCCACAGGAGTGTGGCCACCAGGAGGGGAGTAGAATGGAGGAGGAGATGCTCCACACATCTCTGTAGCAGCCTGACAATCTGTGGGTGATAACCATGGGAGCGGTCTGAGGAAGGCGAGCTCTGAGCTGGTTGGACGGTGCAGTGGCCACATTAAGACAGAGTGGCACGGAGGGACGCTGGAGGGGGCACGGACTTTGGAACTCGCCATGTAACCGTGGACAAGTTACTGGGCATCCTCTGCTGTAACACAGACTTAGGGGCCTGTGGGAGATCTTAAAAGAGAACGTCAATGGGCCTGCAAGACACTCATGAACTCACTCATGTCACTCCGAGAAACGGAGCGTGTTTTATAGGAATAGACTTGGAAGTGAGGACAGCAAGACTCTTAGACCGAAGGCCAGCTCCACAGAAGCCCCCAGAAGCTGCTCAGCCTGGCAGGTCTTGCAAAGGAGAGCACTCTGGACGGATTGCAAGAGCATTGCACGATGGGCGTGCCGAGGGATATTTTTTTCTGAGCTTTTACCGTGAAGACCCGATGGGGTGGGGAAACTTTCAAAAGTGCCGGGACCCCCAGGAGTGAGCGTTTTTAGGTCTCAGACGTGTCCAGCACTGCGTCACCGAGGGGTGGCTTTCCGGTCCCCGTGGGCTCCCCCGGTGCTTCCTGTTCTTGGGCTTGCGCTCTGGGAAGTTGTGGCTCTCTGCATCCGCTGTCTGTTTCTCTGGTGTGTGGACAGAGGTCTGCCCCGTGGCCTCACTTCTCTGAGGGATCTGAGAAGAGCTGTTCATTTTCCACGCGTCCAGCCTTCCTTGCGACACGTGGACCAGAGCCGTGGCGTCTCCGCCCCTGACGCACGGGACTGGAAACGGGAAGTGATTGTAAGTGATCCTTCAGCAGCTCCGTTTCTGCTTCTTGGCAAAGGTTTCGTGCATCTATGGGGTCATGCCAGGCTTCCCGGCCTCAGGTCAGAGCCCAGTCCGTGAAGCATTACAGTGTGGCGATGTGGTGGCCGTTCTAAGGCTTCACGATCCTGAACACGGGCAGGAATGCCTGAGGGACAGCTTATGGCCCCTGCGGTTCCAACACACAGCCACCGGTCATGTAGCCATGGAGCATTTGAAATGTGGCTGGTCCAAACTGAGATGTGCTGCAAGTGTCAAATACACTATACTACGGATTTCAAAGACTTAGTTAAAAAAAAAAAGCAACATATTATTACTATATTCATAGTTTTTATATGGGTTACAGTTTGAAATGATAATATTTGGGAAATACTGGGTTAAATAAAGCGAACACTAAAATTAATGTCACATTTCTTTTCACCATTTTGTTTTTTTAATTTTTAATTTTTTTAATTTTATTTATTTATTTGACAGAGAGAGACAGCGAGAGGGAACACAAGCAGGGGGAGTGGGAGAGGGAGAAGCAGGCTCCCGGCTGAGCAGGGAGCCTGATGCGGGGCTCGATCCCAGGACCCTGGGATCATGACCTGAGCCGAAGTCTTAACGACTGAGCCACCCAGGCGCCCGTCTTTTCACCATTTTATTTTATTTTAATTTTTATTTTTTTTAAAGATTTCATTTATTTATTTGAGAGGGAGAGAATGAGAGATAGAGAGCACGAGAGGGAAGGGGGTCAGAGGGAGAAGCAGACCCCCCGCCGAGAAGGGAGCCCGATGTGGGACTCGATCCCGGGACTCCAGGATCATGACCTGAGCCGAAGGCAGTCGCTTAACCAACTGAGCCGCCCAGGCGCCTTCTTTTCACCATTTTAACGCAGCTCCTAGAAAATTTAAAATTGCATTTGTGCCTCACATTATATTTCTGCCGGATGGTGTGTTAGAGGCCAGTGACACTTCCTTGGTCCAATCAATGTTTTTGTCTTCGTGATGATGCTTTTGATTTGTGTTTGAGCAGAGCGAGGGCTCCTAGCTCTCAATTTGGTGTCTCTGTGTCGTGTGTATTCCTTCCTCTCTTACTTGTCAGATCGCCTTGTGCAAGTCGCAGTGTCCAAGGGGCCTGCGCCCGGAGCTGAATCCACCGCGGGAGGACGGTGCAGAGGCCAAAGGAACATGCAGTGTCTGGCGAGCCATGCGCTGTTTCTGCCCCGGGGTGGCTTTGGTCTTCAGCCACGGAAACAAACGCCGGCCAACTTAAACACGAAGGGAATTTATCGGCGTGTTGCTGGGCAGTTCACAGAACCAAAAAAGCCAAGATGCAGGTTTCCGGAAAGGGCGGGAGTCAGCTGCCCTGGGGATTTATAGCAGCATCACCTCAAGGCTGCTCTCTCGGCCGGGGGTGGGGTGGGGTGGTGGGGGCCTGTGGGGATCGATCAGCTCAGGCTTCTCCCCTTCTTGCACCATCCCAGGCCAGCCGAGCGGGGCAGGAATGCCCAGGACACGGCGGCTGATTGGCTGGCAGGGGCTCTGGGCCCAGGTCTGGGAGGGGGAGTGTGTGCTGAGCGGGCAGAAACAATATGTAGCACTGCCTCATTCCAACCTCATTTCGTCAGTGACCACTGGAGGACTCCGCCAATTCAGCTCTTTTGAGAGACTCTTAAGTGCATCTTTGCAAACTTTGAAATATGGAAACACATCAAACATGTACAGAAGAGGACAGAATAAGAAAATAAATCTCCACGGACCCGTCGCCCAGCCTCCACAAGGATCAGCGTTGGGTCAGGCTTGTTTCATCAATAAGCCACCCAAATCCTCCTGAATTATTTTGGAGCAAATCTCAGGCATTATATCATTTCCGGTAACTCAGCGTGTATCTCTACAAGAGTTTGCTTAAAAAAAAAAAAACCCACCCAACATAACCACGATATTATCACCCATAAAAGAATCCCAACAATGCCATAATATGACCACGTTTCTGGCCGGTGTTCAGATTCTCGTTTTCTAACAACTTTATGGAGGTAGAATCTCCGTATCAAATTAACGAACTGTCGCCCCGTCCAGTCTTCTGGTATTATTTAGAAATGTTTCTGCCACCCAAAATGCTCCCTCACGCCCTTGTGCAGCCAGGCCTCACCTGGGAAAACAGTCTAGTGAAAAGTTAAACATACACTCAGGGTGCAACCCAGTACTTCCACCCCAAGGAACCTGCTCAAGAGAAATGAACACACATGCCAAAGACCACTCCATGAATGTCTAGAGCAGAATTACTCATGAAACCCACACTGAAAACGATCCACGTGTCTATCAACCAGTGGGCTGATTTTTTTTTTTTTTTTAAACCGGTAGAGTCCTACAATCAAGCACCATCAGCACTAACAAGGCGGGACTGCTGATATGTGGGACAATATGGATGAACCACAAGCCTGGTGCTTAGTGAAAGCAGCAGAATCATCCATGATGGATGATTCTGTGCAGGGGAAACGGGTAAGAAAGGAGAACTTTAGAGGAGAAAGCGTCTTGGGGCAGCCTGAGTGCCCCTCCTGGGACCCTTCCCTCTCCTCTCTCCTTGGAGGCTCTAGCATCACCCTCCAAACCAGAAGCTGGTGCTTTCAGTTCTGCAACCCCAGCTGCCCCCAAACAAGGGCACACAAGGCTTGGCTACTTCCAGAAATAAATGCAGACGGAACAAAATGCAAATTTAGATATCAGGAAATATCCTGCCCACATCAAGTTAAGGATCATGTTTTCATGTCTTAAAACAATACTTTGCTTCTGTCCTGTTCAACGTAATTTGTTTTTGTTTTAATATGATTTGCTAGCAGATGCCAAACCGGAGGGGGAGCTGTCACCTCTATCCTTCAGACCGGGTGGGTCAGGGGCCCCAGTCTTGCGGCCCGCGGCGTCTCGCTCGTACCTAAGAGTGCACGATCTTCTCCAGGACCCCTGCAGTTTCACCTTGTCATTCATCCTCGGGAGGTGGTTAGGGACCATTGTTGTCCTGCTTCGACAGTGGGGAGGCGGGGGACTCAGCTCGATGTGTCTCTTCCCAGACCACAGAAGCTGCTGGTGAAAAATTAACCAGACTCGTCCCACAAGCAGATCTTTCCCTTTGGCAATTCACTGTATCATACTTTATTTCCGTTAACCTTTATTGAGCTCTTGCTGTGTGCCAGGCACCGTGCAAGCACCTCGACTACCTTATTTCATTCTCTAAACGACCCCGTGAAGGCATGATCACCGGCCCCGTTTGACAGTGCAGACAAGTGAACAGAAGTTTAAAGAAGTGAAGGGGGTCACCTGAGGGCCGCGGCTGGTTTAGCTCCTAGACCGAGGTGTTGTCAAAACCCACTTGGGGCTCTCTGTACCCCCTGCTCCTTGCAAATTGCTGAAATTTATTAGCTGAAGGGGAATTTTCTAAAATACATAGGCAAAAAGCTTTCCCTTAATCCTTCCTACAAAATGCTTCGTCACCCACACAGGTGACAATACGCTTCTGCCCCTGAGGTTAGGAGAGCTGATGGCATACGGGTGCAGTGGGTGCGTGGACAACCCCCTCAGGTTTCAGGTGCAGCTCCCACAACTTACTACCTGCGTGACCCTGGGCGAGTTACTCGATCCCACCCCATGCCTGTTTCCCCACCTCCTGTAAATCTCCAGACTAGACGGGGTCGGGGGGACCTGTGTGTAGAAGGCTTGGTGCAGCGCCTGGTAGGTAAGCCAGATCTCAGTCATGCTGCTCATCATCGGGCTGGATCACTACTAGCGTTCAAGAAAGGTCAACTGCAGCCCACGGTTACTAATTTCATATGTTTCATATGTTTCAACCTAAAATTATCATGGGAACTCAAGCTTAAAAAAAAAAACACAGACCCAAGTGTAGGAGTGCGACCAGAAATTCTCTGAGGTCTGAACAGGGAAGAAGATGGAGCCAAACGCTGCAAGACAAAATGAGATTGGACGTCGCGGACTCCAGGCCACGGGGAGCGGCTGCCTGTTTCTCACCCACCTCTAAACGCACATGACCACAGTCCCTGTTTTGAAGTGGGAGAAAAGGAAACAGTGAACGCAGCTTCCCACGTCTGTGAAGAAATCTGTAGCCTAGAGAAGGAAATGGAATTCGAGAAGCCCTGGCCTCCAGCCCAACTCCCAGCCATTTATCAAAAGTGTGGCTGGACCAGATGCACTCTGCGCTGGGGTCATTGGAAGCAGATGAGACAGGGCCTCCTGTTCTGTGTGTACCTTTGCAGCTGATGTGCGCGGGGAGGCCACAGAACGCGTGTGAAATGTGCACAGCCCAGCAGCCCCTGGCTGTCTGGTACCCACCTATCATATTTCCCCTCCGCCATTTACCCGATCAAGGATTCAAAGGGAAAGACAAGCTGGCAAGAGAGTCTTACAGACCTTACGCTAATCGAAAAGGATTAAATCTGTAAGACATCATTTTGCTTCCCTCTTTTTATGTTTATCAGTGCCATGGAGAATGAGCAGCTAGCTGCTGAATTTGAAGTGAGAGGGCATATTCACTTACCAGGTTGGAAATCCTCCCTGGCAAGCGTTTTCTTACCACACCAAGAGTAGCAAATGCAGGTCCTGGAGGATATTTAGAATAAACCTAGAATAAAATGATAGTTAATGTCTGAGAAAAGCACCAAATAAATAGAAGATATATATATATATATAAAAAAAAAAAAACAGAGTACAGGACCCAAGATCCCTGAGCCTCTCTCAAAACTAAGAATGTAAACCACTGATTCCCACTTGGGAAAAGCCAGGCTTCACCCTATGCACAGGGAGACAAATGGAACTTCTACAAAACCTTCATGTTTCTCTTCCGTGACCATGATGACTCAGCAGCTACCCCTGACTGCCCAGCCCCTCACCTACGGACTTTAATTAGCCATTGAAGATCTACAACGCTCCAGGGTGGAGAGACTTCTCCTCTCTAGGATGCCAGAAGTGAAATGGTGTTTGAACGAGGAGATGGGGCCGCACGTCCCCCAGGAGACCACCGTCGGGCTCCACTGGCAGTCACATGCTCACAGGTGGTGGTGCAGGGTGGTTCATGATTTCAGTCTGGAGTTACAAGGGCAGAACCACTAGCAGCCTCTTCCATGTCTGTTCTGCACTTCCTCCTAATTCACACAACTCCGATTTTGCCTGGGACGGGCCTGAGCCCAGCTAGATCACGACAGGCCTCTGCCTTCCTTGAGGCCGGGGGTAGCTGTACAATGTCACTGTGGTTAATGAGCTTAATCAAAGGTCACAGGGCTCAGGATGACCGACTCGTTCCAGTCTGCCTAGACTTCCTTGGGTACAGAGATGAGAGTCCTGCATCCTGGGAGACCCCATGGTCCCGGACAAACTGCAACAGTTGGCCACCCTCCAAGAAGGCTCTTTGAAAGGGGCAGAGGCTGTGGCCAGTGCGTGTCCCCTTTGCCTGTCCCCCCTCTTGCTGCATGGGGTGTGGGCTCAATTCTAGAGGTGACCATGAAGCATCGAGCATGAAGACAAGAGCCACTGACTTATTTTAACAGACAAAACTTGAAGAAGAAGAAGAAAAAAGAACTGTGTATTAGGTATAGGGTTGTGAACTAGGTAACCAAAGGGTAAGGAGCAAACTCTGAATGTCTCTTGGAGGTGGCAACAAAATGATGTGCATATTACCCCAGGGGACAAAGCAACAAGGTTGGAATTATTGGAACTTAGGAGCTTGGAGTAGTTGAAAGTCTGATTTGTGAGGTGGGGGCTGACTGGTGCTGGTGATTCTGAAGGGTCTCAATGAGTTGTCTCTTAGAAAAATAGGAGACAGGTGCTGCAGTAAGGGGTGGAGGAATCGGGGGTAAAGAAGCCTCCCTAGGACAGAGCTTACAGGAACAGGAAACAGGCAGAGCCCCAAAGGGAAGGAACCATTCAAATTGTTTGGACGATGCATCCATATTTTGCAAGTGGTGGTGGCCCGTTCATTCCCAAAGCTTTCTAGTACTCTGCTGTATGAATACGCCATACTTTATTCACTCAGCTGTGGACAGACATCTTCAGCAACGACTCTATGAACGCTTCCTGTCTATGTATCCCGGAGCACCTGAGCACACATCGCACTAGGTGTTGCTCAAAGCGTGGTCTCCAGGGTGCCTGGGTGGCTCAGTCGTTAAGCGTCTGCCTTCGGCTCAGGTCACGATCCCAGGGTCCTGGGATCGAGTCCCACATCCGGCTCCCTGCTCAGCGGGAAGCCTGCTTCTCCCTCTCCCACCCCCCCGCTTGTGTTCCCTCTCTCACTCTCTGTCTCTCTGTCAAATAAATAAAATCTTAAAAAAAAAAAAAAGCGTCGTCTCCAGAGCAGCGGTGTCAGCAGTAGCTGGGGACTTGTTAGAAATGCAGATTCTGGGGTCCCACCCAGACCTTTGGACTCAAATTCTGGGAGTGGGGCCCAGAAGCCCCCCAGGGGATTTGGACACATGAGAACCACTGTCCTCAGTTATGTATCTGGAAGTACACTTGGGGTCGCATGATATGCAACATTCAAAACTCCTAGATAATGTCAAACGATTTTCCAAAGCCTTTGTACCAAGCTGCACGCTGCCCCTTCAGTGTCTTCCAGCTCCCCTTGCTCTGTAAGTTTGCCACCACTTGGCTCAGTCAGACTTTTAAATTTTTTTCAGCCTGGCAGGTACAAAGATGTCTCATCATGGTTGTAATGGGTACTTGGGTGATTGCTGGTGAGGTGAAACACCTCTCTCAAAGGTTTACTGGTCATCCAGACTGCCTCTTATGTGCCATGCCTGTTCCAGCTGCTTACCTATTTTCCTCTTTGGTCATCTGTTTTTTTTCTCATCAGTCTGAAGCCCTTTAAGTATTTGGAAAGTGGGTCTTGGTTGGCTGTACCTGTTGCAGGTTATCTCCTTTCACTCCGACACTGGCCTTTTCGTTTTCATGTCCTTTCTGTTGCTACACTCTGATGAACAACTTCTTGAGTTTAATTTAGTCTGATTTGTCCCTACTTTCCTTTATGACTGGTGCGTTTAATGACTTAAGAAGTCATTCCTTACCCCACAGTCATGAAGATAATTCTCCCAGAGTGTCTTTGAACAGTCTGTAGCTCTGCCTTTCACATTTAATTCACGGATCCATCTGGAGTTGACTTTTGCACATGACATAAGGTAGGGGTTCCATTTCTTTCACAGACATGTATGTATATAATCTTCTCCGCACCCCTGGTTGAAAACTATGTCTTTCGCCTACAGCTCTGCTGGGCCCACTCTGTCACCCGTAAAGTGCTCACAGGTACGTGGATCTGTTTCTGAGCGTTCTGCCATCTCCTCTGGATATTTGTGTATACTTGGATCAAGACCACACAGTACGGGATGCCCTACCTACTCTGCTTCTGCCCCTCATGGCAGGATTCCTCCCTTGGAGGAGCATCAAGCGCCCCTGAATCGGACTCTTCCCTTGTCCCCATCTCATTGGGTCGGGATGAGTGAACAGTTGCCTGTAATTTGGCTCATGTGTCAGGCCCTCCCTTCGCACACCATCCCGGCCTGTTGACGCCCCAGCCTTCCTCAAGGCTCCTCCCAAGTGCTGACACCTTGGATCAGTGGCAGCGGAAAGAGATTCCTTCCTCCCCAGACACAGCCTGTAGGTAGGATGACTGTATGAATGTCCTGGGGTTGCTGAAACAAAGTACCCCAAACCAAGTGGCTTAATCCACAGAGATGTGTTGTCTCACAGTTTGGAGGCCAGAAGTCTGAGATGGAGGCGCAGGGCCACATGCTTCTGCAGGTGCTAGGGAAGGATCTGTCTCCAAATTGCCCCCTTTTAATAAGAACCCCAGTCATGTTGGATCAGGGGCCACCCTCCTCCAGTACGGTTTCATTTTAATGAATTACATCTGCAACAGCCCTATTTCCAAATAAGGTCACGTTCAGAGGTACTAGGGGCAGGGTTTCAACATATGACTATCTGAGGGACACAGCTCGACCCAGAACAATGACCATATCATCGATCATCCGAAACCGGGGCACTTTGGAGAGCAAAATGGGGCACTTGCTGAAAATGTACCAGGATCACAGTGTAAACTGTGAGTGCACTGGATAGTCCAGGACATGTGAGCCACCCTCCGTAGACAGTGACCAGGAGATCCACATCACGCAAACACGTCTAGCTTCGGCAGTGGCTCAGTGAGAAGGTTTTAACTGTAAATAACAGGAAACCCAACCCCACGTGGCTCCGACACGGAGGGGATTTATGACCTCACGTGTAAGGACTTAGGAGAAAGGGTGGGCCTAGGATGTGTCGATTCAGTGACTCTGTGGCGCCACCGAGGACGCAGGTTCTCTCCACCATGTGGCTCTTATGTCCTTGATGGATCAACTCTGGTGCTTTCGAGGTGGCTACAGGGCCTTAGGCCCCCTGTCTTCCCAAACCAGGATCCGGACACCAGGTTTGCTTCATGCATCCCTTTTTAGGAACAAGGACACCTTTCCTACTCCAGCCCACTCCCCTTCAGGTCTTGTTGGCCAGAATTACCCTCCACACCTGTGCCCAAACCACGGCCTGGCAAGGGGGGGGGGACCCACCACCACTCCTCTCTTAGGAGCTGGGCCCCACTTCTCCTGCAGCCGATAGGAAGTGGGTATCTGGACAAAACTGGGATTCTCTGGGCAGGAAAAGGAGATGGGTTGGGAGGGGGCTGCTAGGTAGGCAGCCAGAATGCACCTGCCACGACAGGGCAAAGAACAGGCACTGAGAACCAGCAGCACAACAACGGGTGAGTTAAAAGGAGAGATTTTCACACCTGGGCATGCAAGCAAAAACTAGGACCCTCGAATCTTCAAGGTGTTATTCTTGGCAATGTTTTGGGAAGCTGGCAGCAGCACTCACGCCTCGTAAGGTGGAAGGTGTGATCATCGAGGAGGTTAGATGGTCTTGTTTATTGCCCCGGATGGAAGATCATTTCGCAGCAGAGAGCGCTGCAATGCAGCATTGCTAACGAGTGCCGACGAGAAACAAGCAATTGGTCAAAATGATTGTTAGCAAGCAACAAGCCAGCAAGGCAAGAATGGAGTTAAGGGGACCTGAACGGGCCACAGAAAGCAATCATCAGGAAAAAGGTGGCAGGGTTGGGGCGGGGGGTGGGGGGAAGAATCCCAGAGAGCCATTCCAGTGTCTGTTACATTGCACTGTAAAAAATGACACTTCTGCTTAGAAATGCAATACATGTTCATTGGAGAAAATCAGGAAATACTTACAAAAAAGAAACTAGTCACACGCCTAATCTCACCACTAACTACTTTCAATAGTTGGGCGCATTTCCCTGAGCGTGCATGTGCACGCTCACACACCCGCGCACACGCACACTTTGTCTGTCTTGCCTTTTTCACGTCACTTCACTTTACATGGTACTTCGCCCATGTTATTAAAAGTTCTTAGTTGACATCATTTTAAGTAACTGCAGAATGCATGCATTGATCAATGACTTTTTGCAAAACACCGTAAATCTGTGCTTGGGAAGGACTCTCATGGGGGAAGTGGAGAGTGGAAAACCTAAGTGCCCACATTACTCACTGTTCTGTGCCGCATTGTGAAGGTAGGTCAGAGGCTTGGCCACCTTCTGGTCTCTGCTTCAGCTGGGGGGCAAGAAAGCCTGTATCGAGGAGGATGGGGTGGGAGAAACGTGTCGGATTTCTGTGTGTGTGTGGGGGGGAACCCTGTGCATTGATTTGTGCTACAAACCATAAAGTGAAACATAAAACTCTCTAATTATTAGTGGCATTTTTCAAAAAGATGAGCCATCAAGTGCCTGAGCCCTTCCTGGAATGATAGTGAGCTGGCCCCCTGCTGTACCTTAAATTTCCTCCCTTAACTGGTATGATGGATCCTTAGGAAGCACTGGAGAACCATTATCATAATCATCTCTCCTATTAAGAGTGTCATTTTTTTAATAAAAAAAAAAACCACAATAGCGAGGTGCAGAGGTACTTTTTAACTGCCCTGGTAGGAATCCCCCCACGCCCCCCGCCGCCCCCAGCTATTTGATTCCAGTGCGTGCTAGGGTGGACTATCCATACTCCAAACATAGATACATTCCAGTCATTTAATTCCGTTAACACTTAAGGAGTGAGCAGGCCTTGCCGATCACAAATCAAGCTGCATAATCTGTTTCTCGGGTTTATTATTTTTGTGAGGAGAGCGTCTGCCCTCTTGGGGTGAAGCGCCCTATTGATCACCCAGCGCGATGATCCTATGTGTCCCTCCCCACCCCACCCTTCCTGTCGTCTGTACCAAACCTGTTTTAGATTCACAAGACGATCGCCGTGTCCGAGGTGCGCCTAATTCTGTACTTTGAAGTACGCTCCCTATATTGCTGGGCCAAGGATGATGCCTTTCCAATGAATTGTTGTCTCTTTATTCATCTGATTTTCCAAGCTAATATGATGCACTTGTTTTGGATGGACTTCCGCCCTCACGCGAACGGATGGCCCTCCAGTGTTCTTTGTGCCGGCTTTCCCCCCTTTCTTTCTATTTTTAAATTAAATTTTTATGAAAAAGAATGTGCTTCCATCCGGAGGCATAAAAATCGAGGACTGTTGCTCCTTGTGCCTGACAGGGGCCGCAGCATCTGGACAAAAAAGCCATTTCTCTCTGCAACGGGACAATCCAAATGCTGGCCCACAGATAACAGGCCTGCTCCCTGGGAAACGAAGACTTGTCTCGGTGAATGATGGCTTGCTGTTTGGCCTTGGTGTGTCTGTTTATAAAGAGAAGCCAAACTTCATATTTATAGAATAATGAATAATGCAATATTAGTTATTGGTTAATGCAGAACGGCAACATCAGAAGAAAAGACAGACATGGGGGTTGAGAGTCAAGGTTATGTCAGGGGCGGGAGAGAAATGGAATTTTTTTCCCCCTCCCATCTTCCTAGTATGTGTGTGCTTAAAAAAAATCACTTAATTGGGTGTTTTTTGTTTTTTACAATAAGGAGGCGGCTGCATGCAGACGAGACTGCTCGCTCACTGGGCCTGCCTCCTGCATAGAGCCTTTTGGAGCACACGGTGGACCTGGTCACATTCCAAATCCCCCTCCAGCAGCCAGGCAGCGAGTCTTGTTTGTTTGTGTGAGTCTGGGAGGCCCCAGCATCTTGTTAGCGTTATACTGGAGAGCGGTGGGGGAATCTTTCTGTTCAGGACTCTGCAAAGCTCTTCCTGCTTAGAAAAGAGGTTTTGTTTGACTCTTTTTGGCCTCCGAGGCACCAAAGGGAGTGATTAATAGGGAACCACCTCGAGATTTCAACAGAGCAGCAGTGTGAGCTCCCAGGGTGGGCAGGGCCTTTGTTTGGCAGAAAATGGGCGATAAAGCAGAGACAGGGCTGCCGGCTGGGAGTCCGGTCCTCGGGCCTGCTCAGTTTCATCCCTGCCAGGCCAACCTCACGACCGGCGCCGACCTGGGAAGATTCATCTGCCTGCATCCTGGGCAGTGTGATTAGCAGGGGCTTTCTCCTCTGGGGTCGGGGGGGGGGCCCTAGAGTCTGGCTGGCAAGGGGAGACAGTGGGCCTCGAAAAGTGCTCGGGCCCGGCTGGGGCCCAGAGACTCTGTTCTTTTTTGTGAGATCCCGCAGGCAAGAGAAGAGCAAAGGCGTCAGGGGGAGAGCACTGGGGACATGTGGTCCTGGGGAAGGGGGGTGTGAAAGGGCTCCTCCACAGAGGCGCCAAGGCGGCTGGGCCTCTAGGCCTCTGTGGCCGGGAGCAGAAGACGAGCCTGTGATCGGCAACAAGGCTCCTACGACCATAGCAGAATCTAGGGAGTGCTTGGGAAGTGGGAGGGAGGGGACAAGGCAGAGCAGCGTTAAACCAGGAAGCAAAGCAACAGTCAGGACGCCCAGGCCCGAAAACCATGGCCCCAGCCATGGTGGGTCCCCCACCAGCTTGATGCTCCTTGGGTGCATGTGTCCCCGAGGCTGAATGGGGGCATCAGCAGGTTGTTCTGGTCACATTAGAGTGAGGGGCAACAGGGACGTTTCCCTTCCTTGGAGCCCAGACCCCTTCCCTTCATTTAAGATCTGCTAGGTGTCAGGCAGGATGGTAGCATCCCGTGCAAATTCCAAAGCCAGGCACTCAGCATTTGCAGAGCCCCTGCAGCTTTGCCCCTGCGGCAGGCCCGACGCTGACATGGCCACTGGTGATTTCGCCCCAGCACGGAACTGCTCCGTGACAAGACTTCAGAGGCAACGGAACGTACTGGTTGAAGTGGGGAGTATGTTAGCTCAGGCAGCTGTAACAAACAAACCACAGCCCGGGCCACTTATAAACAACAGACCCTGCCTTCTCACAGTCTGGAGGCTGGGAATCCAAGATCAAGGTGCCGGCAGGAGGCAGCCAGCACGCAGAAAGCCTCCTACGGCTTTAGCCACGATGAAATGATGGCCACTGGGCCACGCCTGCCGTGCCCAACTCCGGGGGGAGCTGCGGACACAGAATCCAACATCCATCGCCCGCTGTCCCTCATGCCCCACCCCCACGCCGCCCTCCCCAGGGTACCGCTTCACGCCACGACCTAACGAGGACGCAAGTTCAGCTAGCAAGTGCCAGAAAACTCAACTTGAGATGGTCTAAACAACGCCAAAGTGTCAGTCCACACGGCTGGGCTCTGGATGTAGGTGGAATTTTGGGGTGGCCTGACCCCCCAGCTCTAGCTCCCTCAGTCCACAGTGAGGCCAGCTGTGTTGTCTTCCTGCGGCAGGCTGGAAGGCCCATGGCCACACAGCCCACGCCCCCTTCCGTGGCCTCTCTTCTCACAGCCGTATCTCAGAAGGGACGGACCCTTTCCCGGAAACTCCTATCAACCGGAGGCCTGACCTCTCCCCGACGGCTCGGAGAATGGTCAGCAGTGGCCAGCTTAGATTCCTGAATCACTCACCGTGCACAGGATACACCCCCCTGGGTGCAGAGCTGGGGTTGGCCCCCTGCCCTGTGATGGCTCCATAACGGGTCAGGGCTGCAAGGGACCAAGGCCACGGAACACGGTCCACTGACAACGTCTGCCTCACCGAATCTTGTCCAGCTGTGCCCCGAGGCAGGTACTACGGTCATCTATGCTTTAAAGGTGGGGCACATGGGGACGTGTTGAGACACACAGGCAGGCGGGGAGCTCTAGCACAGAGGTGAAAACGAGGCTAGCTCTTGACCTCATGCTCACTTCAGTGTGGACAGGCCATGCAGTGAGGACAGTGAGTCATTACGGGGAAAGAAAAAAAAACCCAAATGGAAACCCACCGTCAGCTTCCTCAGAGTCACACTGTCCAAGAGCATTCTGGCCCACACGTGTGTACAGTTCTTTCCTGCTATTTTTATTGTGTAATGTGTACATTTCCTCCCTGCAACCTTTTAAAATTGAGAAATGTAACACACACACAGAAAGGTGCATAAATCTCACGAATAAGGATGTGTTCACTTTCTGCTGCAGTTTAACAAATGACCACAAATTTGGGAACTTAAAAAATGCACTTACCTCCGCTTCCGTGGGGTAGGAACCAGGGCTCGGCTTTCGCTGGGTCCCACTCAGGGTCTCACGGGGCTATAATCCAGGTACAGGCTGAGCTTTGTTCTCACCTGGAGGTGCGGCCCTTTCAAGCTCATTCAGGTCGCCAGCAGATGCAGATCCTTGTGACTGCATGACCGAGAGCCCCAGCTTCTTCCTGGCTGCTGGCTGGAGGCCACCCTCAGGTCCCAGAGGCTGCCCACAGTCTCCTGCCACATGGTCTTCACTTGGCTGTTTGCTCCTGCAAGGCCAGCAGGAGAGTCTGCGTCCAGTCACCCCAGGAACATGAGCATGATGGGCGTGACATCCATCATCCTTCACATACGACATGATATTGTCAAGGGAGGGACATCTTACTCCTCTCACCAAATTCTATTATCTATTAGAAGCGCATTGACCGGTCCAGTCCACACTCAGAAGTGGGGCAATGATACAGGCTGTGGACTCACTGCGGGTCCCCTTGGGGTGTGCCTAAGTGGAACCCAGGTGAAGAAACTGAACATTGACCACCAACCCAGAAGCCTAACTTACCCACCCCCATCTCCACTTAGAGGTAAGACCAGTGCCAAGCTGGAGCTGGCTCATGAGAACCAAATGTTAAATTTTCGGGAATTCTGAAACAGATATTATCGAAAGTTAAGTGATATAAATTTACAGTAAAAGCAGTACTATTGACAACAAGGTCTCAAAATACATTACCTCCCGATTATCCTACCATGGCCTACGCTCTTGAGATTATTTACATCTATTGGATCCATATGCTGGAAATAACATTCTCAACCTGCACTCAGACACTCCACGTTGGTAGCCTGAAATTGGCCATCAGAGGAATCTTTAAGTTGTGGGAATCTGAAAATTGTATAGTTCAGAGCTTGGAGGTTGAAAAGGGGGGTAGATAAAACAAAGAATACGCAACAGAGATTATACGTGTCTGGCAGGGCCTAAAATATTTGCCATCTGACCGAACCCCCAATCTAGACTTAAGAAAGTAATAGTGAAAATTAACAATGTAGTTAGACTTAACTTTATGTTAAGTCTGTAGCCTTTATACTGTAAACACCATAAAACCATATAAACACCATAAAACCTTGAGGAAAAACTGGATCTGTAAACCACGATCAAATTTGGCAAAGGAGTTGCTCACATCATTGATGAAATCCTGAGGTCTTTCTGGCTTCCTTTCTGTCTTGCTTATTAACATAACATCAACCAGGTTCATATCACAGATTACATTTACTGATAAGTTTGTTGGGGAAATAGTAGGTTGGGAGGCAACTCAATTTGCCAGATCACGGGGAGACTTTCAACTGCAGGTTGGCCAGGGTACAAGAGCCCAGCGAAAGCAAGCAAAAGCATTCTCCGAGCACCAGTGGGCTCTAAGAGATTTAGGAGCAAGACTGCTGTTTACCATTCTTGGTAGTCGGTGTGCTGCCCAGGCTTGCTATCAGCGACACTCATAATAAACTTAGGCACATATACAGTCCCATCGGCCTGATCTTGAAGGTGAGTACTTCCTGGCTCTCCTTGATACCTTAACCAGGTTTAGAGTCGCCTCTTTCCCACCCGTGACTCAGGCACCTTAGAGCCCCGAGCAGCGACCGGCACACAGTAGGCATTTGGCGGAGGTTGCTGAAGTGGGCAAACTGCAGAGGAATGCCGATTTTTAACAGGGCAACTGGCAGCGGCAAGGCAGTTGTGAGACTTTATGAGAAAATGCCAAAAAGGAAAAAAAAAAAAAAAGTCGGGGGGACGTTTGCTTTCATATCTCGGTAAGCCTCCTCACATCGTTTTGACATCAATCTGGTATAAAATCAAAGGCGGGGGCGGGGGCAGCAACAGCCCCAACAGTGAGCAGCCCAGCCCAGGGCTCAGCGCGCGCCCGGCCGGCGACGGGAGAAGCCGGACACGTCACTCCGCCACTCTCGGGCACCCGGCGGCGGGGCCCGCTCCCATGAACCGCGCACGGGGCACCCCGCGAGCCCCCCAGGGCCACCGCACAAGAACGCAAACCCGGGCTGGGCGGACGGCGGCGCGGCCGAGCGCTCCGCCTCCGGGGCTACGTGGACGCAGAAGGCCCCGCCCCCGCCTGCCGCGGGGTCCCAGGGCCTCCCCGGCGGGGCGCGGATGACCTTGGGCGGGTCGGCGCCCACCCCGCCCCACACCTCGCCGGGACCCCGGGAAGGGCGGACTCGCAGTTGTCGCGAGGACGTAACCGACCCACGCCCCGCTCGCGCGCAGACCGGAAGGTGCGTCGTGACGCGTTGTGCGCAGGCGCGACGTACAGTGCAGCGCCCGGGACCGGCGCCAGGGGGCGCTGCGGGCCTCTGGCGCCGTTGGGGGAAGGGAGGCGCAGCGCTGGGACCGGACCACGTGCGCACCACGTGGCGCACCCGGCAGCCCCCGACGGAGATAAAGCGGCCCAGCCGGCCACACCGTGCAACCAGCAGCCGGGGACGGCGAAGGAATCAACCTCTCCGCTGGCGTCCCTGCTGACCTTTAGCCTCTGACCCCACTACCTTTAGGGTTACCCCTCACTGGTGGCCGTGTGGTGTGTTTATAAACAGAGCTCCCGGCGGGGCCCAAACCCCGGATGGCGGATTGCCTCCCGGGGAGCGGAGCCTCCCGCGCATGCGCTCCGCGCCTTCCGCGCGGCTCTTCCTGCGCAAGCGCACTGGCGGGCGGGGCGCGTCTCTGCCCGGGGCGGGGACGTGTGTCCGGGAGGGGGAGGGCGGCGACCGGGAAGAGCTGGGTTCCGCGGCTGCAGGCTTGCCAGGCCCTGCCCCGTCCTCCCTGGGCTGCATGCCACGGCAGGCCGCCCGGGTGCCCTGAGCCGGGACCTCGCCTGTGAAGGGGCCACCGTTGGCAGGTCAGGCAGGTGAGCTCTGGACCTGCCCCGGCTGCCCTCCCTGGCTCACGTGGCCGCCCCAGAGAGCCTTTAAACTCAGCAGCCCCACCCCCCCCCCATGCATTTTGAACAAAATGTGGTGTTTACAGGCAGTGGGATGCTGCTCAGCCTTAGAAAGCAAGGAAATTCTGTTAGGTGTATTTCATCATCATAAAAAAGGACAGTTCTGACCCAAGCTAAGGGATAGGTGAACCTAGGGGACATTAGGCTGAGTGACAGAAGTCAGAGACGGAAGGACGACTACTGCAGGAGTCCACGAACACAGGCACATTCATTTGGAATAGAGGTGCCCAGGGGGGTGGGAATTCTTTGATGGGGACGGAGTCTCAGTTTGGGAAGATGAAAAAGTTCTGGAGACGCATGGTGGTGGCAGTGGCTTCATGCCCTGAACCTGGCCCTGAAGAATGGTTAAAATGGCAAATTGTGTGTGGTGTATGTTTTACTACATCCTCCCCACTCAACATCACCCCGAGTTCTGCCCAACGATATCCTTTCTGTGTTCTGCCCCGTCTGTCTCATCCCTGCTCACATCGCCTCGAACCCCTGCAGCCTCAACGAGCCGCCCTTCTTACCTAGAACGCACCATCCTCACTGCTCCTTGCTGTTCCCTCTGCGCACTGCTGTTTCCTTCTCCTGGATTCATTCATTCAACAGACACAGATCCATGCTTATTTTCTGCTAGACATTATGCAAGACCAGGGGATGCGCAGGTGATCGCAACAGGAAAAGACTCTCCTGGGCTTTATATTCTGGCAGAGGGCATAGTCAATAAACACCAGCAGCAAAATGTCAGTTGGTGAAGTGCTGGAAGAACCATAAGGCTGCTGGGGACCCGGGATCTAAGCTAGATTGGGTGCTCCTGAGGGACTCTCTGAGTGCTGGTGGCTTGAGCTGAGACCTGCAAGATAAGGAGATTTCCATGGAAGATTGGGGGGGGGTGGAGGATGGAAAGGAGGATTTTTTTGGGAGAGAGAGGACAGCTAGTGCAAAAAGCCCTGAGGACAGGGCCGCCTGGGTGGCTCAGATGGTTGAGCGTCTGCCTTCAGCTCAGGTCATGATCCCAGGGTCCTGGGATCGAGCCCCGCATTGGGCTCCCTGCTCTGCGGGAAGCCCGCTTCTCCCTCCCCCACGCCCCCTGCTTGTGTTCCCTCTCTTGCTGTGTCTCTCAAATAAATAAATAAAATCTTAAAAAAAAAAAAAAAGAAACGAAGGCACAGAGGTGGGTGCTCCTGTTACGATAATTACAGGAAATACCCTCAAACTTGCTAGTGTAAAGCAATCATTTTGTTGGCCCGCAGTTTGGTAGGGCTCAGAGAGGCAGTTCTCGCTCGGGGTTTCACGCGGGTACCATCTGGTGTGGGTCGGAGTGCAGGCATCTGAGGCTGGCGGGGGCTGGCCGCCCCCGGCGGCTAGTTCGTGTGGCTGGCAGCTGGGAGCTCAGGGAGGGCTGCCTTGGGCATGCCTACCTGTGGCTCCTTCAGCTCCGTGGCCTCAGGGTAGCTGGACTTCTCATGTGGACAGGCTGCCTGCCAAGAGAACCAGGCAGAAACCACACGGCCTTCTAGGACGTAGCCTCAAAAGTCATGTAGTCTCGCTTCCGTCATACTTTGTTGGGTGGAGCAATCTGAAACCTGCCCAGATTCAAGGACAGGGGATACGGTTCCACCTCTGGGCAGGCGGGGTGGGGGAGGGAGTGTCCACGATTTTTGGAGCCATGTTTTAAAATCACTACAGGTGATCTTAGATTTTTTTTTTTAAAGATTTTATTTATTTATTTGAGAGAGAGAATGAGAGAGAGAGCACATCAGAGGGGATAGGGTCAGAGGGAGAAGCAGACTCCCTGCCGAGCAGGGAGCCCGATGTGGGACTGGATCCCGGGACTCCAGGATCATGACCTGAGCCGAAGGCAGTCGCTTAACCAACTGAGCCACCCAGGCGCCCGTGATCTTAGATTTTTTTTTTTTTTTTTTTTACAGATGGAGAACATGATGTGTAAGGTGAAGTGACGGGGCCAAGGTGGCAGAGTAGAGCGGGGCCTGGAGCTGGGTCCTCTCTCCCGCATCCATCCCACGGCCTCTACTCTGGCCACACGGAAGGGGGCTTCAGGGTCTGAGTCTGCAGGACCTAGTTTTGGCTGAGATGTATCCTCGGAGAACGAACCCCTCCTGAAGTCGCATGCAGCCGTCTGTTTCATGATCCTGTCTCTCTGGCTTCAGAGCCTCAGATGATGGTTTACTGTGCCTTGTCCACTTCCGAGAGCTGCACCCAGGCTGACCTTACCCACCGGAAGCGCTTGGTAAATCCTGTGGAAGGAGTCGGTGGATTCAACGCCAGGTTCACGAAGCTTGCCATGGGTTAAAGAGGTGGTACGTGCCAGAATTTAGCCAGCTATGGGGTCCCACTGGTATCTGGTGAGGAGTCCTTATTAACGTGTGGTTTAGTCACAGCTCATCTCTTAAAGGACGGGTGGGGACAGGCTGGCCACACCCTTTGGTGGCACCTCCTTCCTTAATGGCACCAGCGGTGGAGTTTAGAACGAAGAGCACGCAGCAGGGTGCTCACAAGTGGTCTCTCGCTGCTGGCCAGCAGGGTGGGGAAGCCCAGCTGGGCGGTGGACCCTGAGGATCTGCCAGGAAGACGTCCAGACACAGAAGGAGGAAGGCCTCCGTACTTCATGTGATCCGTCCCCCTGACAGCGGAGCGTTGCAGCTTCTGGAGTCCCAGACGCAGCTCATCCTGAGGGCGCCTCGAGGATCTCGTAAGATGTATGTGTGGGGGGGTGGGCACGTGTAGTCACGGGATCCCAGACGTGGGGACAGTTCTGCAGCAGGAGTGATGAGGCCATTAAAGCTTCTTGTCCCATGAAGCAAGCATCTGATGAGGCATCTTCACAGAAGGACCTATTTTTAAAAACTTAGCTTTCTCCTCCCACCAAATTGTAATTTGTTCAGAATTTTAAAACTCTAGTTTTGGCTAAACTTCCTCCTGCTCCTTCCCAATCCTCCAAATTTGGAGAAAATCTGTATCAATATCTGTATCTATATATATCTCTTTCTTTCTTCTTTTTTCCCCCAAGCAGGGAGCCTGATGCAGGACTCGATCCCGGGACTCCAGGATTACGACCCGAGCCAAAGGCAGTCGCCCAAACGGCGCTGCCCAGGAGCCCCTACATGTATCTTTCAACATTGATATTCTCTGTATATCTATCCCTGGAATATTGTCCTTTCTTCCTCCTTTTTTTCTGGTTTTAGACATAAAAAAGTCTGTTACACACACACCCACACACACACACACCCACACACACCTACCACGTACTGAGGAACTTACTGATCCAGGTTCCTGTACTTTGCATAATCACTGCTGAGGACTTTGCAGTAGGGAACAGAATTTGGTACCTGGGCACGGAGAGCGAGCTACAGGTGTGGAATTCCAGCATCTCATCATGTTAGAGAACTGGGCTAAAGCAATGATACGCAGAGTGAGGTTGCAGACCTCTCCTGGTCTGCCAACTGTTTACAGGTCTGTGACAAGAAAGTATAGACGTTGGAAATACATGTTTAGGAACTTCTTTAGGAATTTGACATTTTAATGACATCCGACAGTAGATCCCGTGGACTTGTCATCTGTTTTACAAAACGCACTGGGAAGAGGCCCAAAGCCTGGTCCTTCACTGCGCATGGCTTGGGAAAGACTGGAAGGAGGAACTCACCTAAAGCTTTTGGGCATGCCATGAGCCACACCTAGAAACCCAAGACAACAACTGGAAAATTGCCATACAATGGATGCATATTTAAAAAAAAATCAGTAATATTCCTATATACAAGTAGCAGCTCCTCAGAAAGTACAATGGAAGAAAAGATTGCTTTTACTGTGCAAAATAAAGGAGGACACCCAGGGATAAACTCAAAAAAATGTGCAAAATCTGTATGAATGATTTTCTCTCTCTGAGAACTAGAAGACACCAAAAATTTTCTTGATAAAATCAAGGTTACGAAGGACCCCGACTCACTTCAGAGTAGGCCTAGAGGACATCCAAGCGAGCCGCGGTGCGGTTCTGGGAGCTCATGGCTTCTTGCAGAGACGTACGAACACACGCACGTCTGTCTCCTCGGACCTGCCTATTCTAGATACTTCTGTAAGTGGAATCATACAGTATTCTTTGTGTCTGGCTGGCTCCTTTCGCTGAACATCACGTTTTCAGGGCTCATCCATGTTCTGGCTTGAGTCAACACGTCATTCCTCTTTGTAGCCGAATAGTATTCCATTGTATGGATAGACCACATTTTGCTTAATGTGCGTCTGCTGATGAACACTAGGGCTGTGTCTTCCTTTTGGCTCTTAAGAATAACACTGCTGTGAACATGTACCTACAAGTATTTGAGGCCCTGTGTGCAATTCTTCTGAGTATATAGCTGGGACTGCCAGCTGCTGGGTCACACGGAAATTCCATTTCAACTTTCTGAGAAACTGCCAGGGTGTTTTGCACAGTGGCCACACCTTTCTACATTTCCAACAGCAATGTACGGAGGGTTCCAGCTTCTGGACATCCTTGCTAGCACTTGCTAGTTTCCATTTTAAAAAATATCCATCCTTGTAGGTGCGAGGTGGAATCTCACTGTATTTTGATTTGCATTTCCCTAATGATTAATGATGTTGAGTATCTTTTCATGTGCTGGTTGGTCACCTATATGTCTTCCTTGGAGAAAACAAATACCAATAAATATTAAGAAAAAAAAATTAGTAAAATTGAATAGAAGATTTTTTCTGTTTTTTTTTTAATGACAGCTCAACAAACATAATTCAACATGTATTACAGAAAACCTTATAAACAATATCAAAAGATAACAGGAACCTAGATAAATATTGGTTAACATACAAGATAGACAAAGAAGGGCCTAAAATTTACAACACCCCAGCAATGGTGAACGTATCTAGAACCCAGAACATGACCTTATTTTAAAATAAAATATTGAGAAAATATTCTAATATAAAGCAAAGCCGTCAAATTTTGCATTATGTTGGAATAACAGGAGAAGTTTCACAAGTGCCCTGATAGGCAGGTTGCACCCAACAGAGATTAAATTAGGGTCTCTAGGAATTCCCACATCAGTATTTTTTTAAAGCCCTGATGGTTTGTTTCAACGTGTGGATGGGCTGAAGGACCACATTCTAGAATCTCACACTGTGTCTGTGGCTCACGGGGGGGGGGGGGGGGGAGACTGGTTCAAATGCAGATTCTGATCCAGGAAGTCTGGGGTGGGGCCCAGACTCTGTTTTTAACGAGATCCCGGTGATGCGGGTGCTGCCAAAACAGGGCTGCATTTTTTTTTTTTTAAGATTTTATTTATTTATTTGACAGAGAGAGACACAGCGAGAGCAGGATCACAGGCAGGGGGAGTGGGAGAGGGAGAAGCAGGCTTCCCGCCGAGCAGGGAGCCCGATGTGGGGCTCGATCCCAGGACCCTGGGATCATGACCTGAGCCGAAGGCAGATGCTTAACGACTGAGCCACCCAGGCGCCCTGAGGCTGCATTTTGAGTAGCAAAAATCCTCCAGGTGATGCGGAGGCGGATGCTGCTGGTCCTTGGACCGCATTTTGAATATCGAGCATCCACAGTAGCATAAGAGCAACAGCATCTGGGGTTTGCTAGAAACACATACTCTCAGGCTCCACCCAGCCCACTGCCTGGGAAGCGGCATTTGACAAGGTCTAGGGTACTACTCCCTGTCTTGGCCCTGTGGTCTCACCAGCTCATAGTGGAGGGGATGGGCGGTGGATGTTGGGGCCTCTGGCTTCTGTCCCTGTAGATTTGAACAACTGCCCCCCTCCAAAGAGAGACTAATGATGAGTGAATGTTTCTCAAGTGCCCCGACCTTTCTTGGATTGAAAACCCCTATTAGGAGGGTGATTTTGTGTTTGCTGGCCAAGTCTGCCGCCTCTTCGATGATCCTGGAGAGCGCCCCAGTGCCCTGGAGATGGCAGTGCAGGCTGGGGATTGAACGAGGCCACAGCTGCAAACCGCAGCGGCTCCTCCCTGATGGTGATCGCCAGAACTGGCCTGCGCCCCGGTTTCCTGGCCACGTGGGGAGTGTGAGGCAAGCACCCCTCCCTGAGCCATCCTCCGGCAGGACAGTTGGGGTGGACTCGGGTAGGAGGGTCGTGTTGATTGGCCAGAACAGGGGAGCGTTCAATATTCGACCAGCAATAACTAGTGGATTGCCTACTGTGTGACATGCAGCCTGCTAAGGGCTGGGGACATAGATCCAAGGCAAAGAAAACAGTGAGCAAGCCTCACCCATATCCCTGTAAACTATGAGTAAGTGCTCAGAGGAGAGCTTCCTGGTGTTCAGGGGCAGATCGAAGAGGGCTGTGACCTCATCTGGGAGGCGAGATACTAAGGGATAGATAGTAGCTCTGGAGAGGAGAGTGGGTGGGCAGGAAGCACACGCAGTGATGTGGAGACAAACCCTCTCTGTGTGTACAGACTTCCCTAAAGTTTCCCCTTATCACTGGTTCGTTTGAACCAGCTGCTCAAAGGTAGAATTTCTGGGACTTTGTGTCACTCGGAACGTGCATAAGCTCTTCTGCAGCAATGGCCACAACTTTTGAGGAAATAGCCACCCCCGAAATAATGAGCCTGTGTCCCCGGGGCGTGCACCACGTGGGAGACGTGGCCCGAGGTCATGTGGAGAAGCAACAGCCCGGCTCTTGTCTGCAAAGAATCATCAGTTTTATCGAAAAGATTGGAAACCACGCAGGAGAAGAAAAAGAACAGGCCCAAGTGATTTAGGAACAGGCGCTGGAGGTGGTGAGAAGAGGGGAGGGTGCTGGGGAGGAATGGGGGTGGTCTAGGCGAGTGAGGGGCAGGGGGCAGGTGAGGGCAATGTGGACCAGAGTCCTGAGGCGGGGCGGGCAGCTGATGCTGGGAGCAGGGAGCAGGGAGCAGGGAGCAGGGAGCCAGGGCTCCCGGCTCACCCACCCCCACTACCCCGAGGGACAAGACAGGGCCAGCTTTGCTAAAATTCCCCTGAAGCATCCAGCTTTATCTTAAAAAGGCTCACGCATTTTGCATTCTACTCCACGACAGAGGCGTGTTTAGCATAAAAATAATATTTTGAATTAACTAGCTAAATTATTAGAATTTTCTTCCTTGGGACACCTGGGTGGCTCAGTTAGTTAAGCGACTGCCTTTGGCTCAGGTCACGATCCTGGAGTCCCGGGATCGAGTCCCACATCGGGCTCCCTGCTCAGCGGGGAGTCTGCTTCTCCCTTGGACCCTCCCCCCTCTCATGCTCTCTCTATCTCATTCTCTCTCTCAAATAAATAAATAAAATCTTAAAAAAAATAAAAATTCTAAAAAAAAAAGAAAAAAATTTTCTTCCTTAACACTTCAAGACAAACTGAGGTTGGGGAAGGCAGACCTTTCACTGCCCCACTCCTTGGCTGGACAGATGGGCAGGGCAGATCTACTTCCCTGGGTGCATCGAGGCCTGATGGCCTGGGTTCAAATCCCGCATGACCTTCCCATGTGACCTGGTGGGTCGGTGCCTGGGCTCCCTGGAAGGGGATGAGTCACAGGACCCACCTCACAGGGTTGGGTGAGTATTGAATGGGTGAATACACAGAACATCCCTAGCACAGCACATAGCCAACTGTTGATCAATGTTCGATATTAGGATCCTGCGTTAGTAAGTGGTAGACATTATGGTTATCAGCATCACTGACAGTCATGGGGGGTGTTGAATGGTTCACACTTCAAGAAGTGTGTCCAGGTCTGGGGTGAGCAGTTGAGGTCCTAAGAGTTCAACTGTTGTGAATTTGGGGGCCGGCGGGGGTGAAGGGGCAGGTCTGAGGCATGAGGATCTGGCTGCCATTGGCCCTTGGGGAAATGTTGAGGGGAAGCCATAACACACCACCAAGTTCACCAGCTGGAAAGACGGGGAGGGGCCCCGGTGAAGGAGGCCGGGGAGTGGCCGCCTGCTCACCTGCCGTGGAAATCATTCTGGGCACTGTGAGGTGTAGCGGCCCGCTGGTGACGGATGGATGCTTGTGTCTCTCTGAAATTCATCTGCTGAGCCTGGCTCCTCAGTGAGGCTGCATCTGGACATGGGGCCTCTGAGGAAGTGACTGAAGTTCACTGAGGGTGGGTCCTGATCCCGTATGATAAGCGTCCTTATTAGAGAGCTTCTCTCTGTCACATAAGGTCCACGGCAAGGAGGTGGCTGTCTGCAGGCCAGGGCGAGAGCTCTCACCAGAAACAGGCTCTGCCGGACTTGACCTTGGGCT